TACTACTACTACTACTACTACTACTACTACTACTACTACTACTACTACTACTACTACTACTACTACTACTACTACTACTACTACTACTACTACTACTACTACTACTACTACTACTACTACTACTACTACTACTACTACTACTACTACTACTACTACTACTACTACTACTACTACTACTACTACTACTACTACTACTACTACTACTACTACTACTACTACTACTACTACTACTACTACTACTACTACTACTACTACTACTACTACTACTACTACTACTACTACTACTACTACTACTACTACTACTACTACTACTACTACTACTACTACTACTACTACTACTACTACTACTACTGAAATGTGTTTTAATTGAAAGCACAAAGCAATGAAGATGTGAATGCAAGGAGGGCAATGAATTCAAAAGGCGAACAGCAAAATTGTAACAAAATAGAAAGATAACAAAATAATAATGGCAACAGCAATGTTTATACATGAAAAAGGGGAAGGAAAAGGAAAGAAAGACATCCAAACCAGAACTGCTTGAACACCGCCAGAAATGAAACCGAGATTCATACAAAAGAAAAAACTTCAGGACACCGGAAAACAAACTTTAGATCACATTTTGACATTATACGAGATGATGACAACGAAAAACTATGCCCTAGAGAGCACACGGCAGTCATTCACAAAGCTCGCCGAGCGCTTAGAGCGATAGGAGGACCTAGAGCCACGTAAACAGGTGATACACCAGCGAAGTAGGCAGAATGACAAACGGCATCGCAAATGATTGACAACAACAGAATACACCAAATCAGCATTTTTCTCTAGAATACGGCCAACCAATGCCTTCAAAAACACGGAACACTCCTTCCCTATCATGCCGTTGGTCGCAAATACCAGAGGGGTGAATGTGCCCCGATCGATCTGATTCACTCGCTCTGCGTAATGCCTCTTTTTTTCCCGCTCATTGCGCTCCAATTGGCTCATGGCTTTTTCACGAGACAGCAAGTTGGCCCTGGGATGCGTTACCCGGATATCGAAGAAGGCCTCCTGCTGCCGCGTCCAAAAGCCACGAGCCCTGACGTCAAGCCGCGCTTCCTGGGATCGGTTAGATGTTGACCATGCCAATGTCTCACCACCAAATGGGAGAAGGTTGGGCTCGATTGCCACATCGGGACTTACACTTCTGAGTAGCTCAGCGATGAGATCACGTATCTCATTATGCCTTGCGGTGGGATAGCCACCACAAGGGCACACCATGGCATGGTCAGTCGACAAGTTAGCTCCGCATACACAGTTCGTTGGAAGACCATCAAGCGGTAGACCGTACCGAAGCGCCACAGCATCTCGAAAATCTGATTTGTTAAGTGTTGTGCCATGGGCGGACCTTGGTTCAACAGTCAGCCAGGAGGACACGCCCTTCTCACCAGCTATCTCCACCAAGAATCGCTGGTCTGGCGTCAGGTGATCATGTACTGTGGCCAGGATCTCTATGTCCCTAGCGTCTCTCTTCTTCTTGCCTTCTCTTAAACGCTGGCGAGTCTCCATCACAGCCTCGCTAACGCTAGCATCGCGTGACGGAATTTCCATTGAAGCTGACGGTGGCCGGTGCGGAAGCCATGATGAGGTGAGAGACTCATCAGCGGTTTCATTGTTGACTGTGTGACGCGGCGGACGCAGTGAGAGCCAAATCTCTGACGCATCACCTCCATCCACAGAACGAACATCACCGCGCTCCCGGTCAGCAGAGACAATATCCACCGACCCAGAATTCAGCGGCATAGCTTCCACGTTGTTGATGTTAGTTACTGAGTTGATGTTAGTTACTGAGTTCCGCTCCACTGCCTCTCCGGACGATTCCTCATCCGCCAATTCGACCTCGGCCAACTCCTCAGCTGCATCTGGCCGGCTCGCAGCCGTTCGCGTGCTATCGGCAGCAAGCTGTGGCACGGCTGCCTCAATTATTGGGCGCACGGCTTCGGTACACTGCGAATACTCACCCTCACATAATGGTGCAACTGGGGGGATGCCTAGCCCGCCACGGCGGCATGGAAGTCCCATAAGCTGACGAAGGGGATCGTCACTGCTTAGAGACACACCAGCAATGGCAGGCAGCAGGGAATTTTTAATTGCATCATCCAATCTAGTAAATAGGTCGGGAGAGCAATTTACGGCCCGAAGGCAATAACGCCAGCGCGAAATAATGCTGCGCACAAGCACAGTATATGCAGCATGTGGCTGAGTAGTGGCGAGTTCGGAAAGGTGCTCGACTTGGCGAACCCACTTATCAACCTTGCCCGATACAAATGTGTGCAGGAATCTCTCAGACCCAAGGGCGCCACCAAGATAAATGCAACCATCCGTAACAATTCTCACCCCAGTCCCAGCGAATAATTCCTGCGCTGCGTGCTCGAGAGATGGCTTCACGAGAAGAACTGTCTTCTCAGGATTGGGGTGGTACCCATAGTCGGGTCCCAGCTGCAATAACTTAGACCAGTAATGGGATGCGGCTTGAAGGGTGCCAGCAGCGGAATCATCATCAGCGTACCACAGCTGGGTGGTGTTTGGACATTCGTGTGAAAGTTTGTTTATGAAAGGCATAACAGCAACAGCGTAAATGGCCATCGCAAGGGGGTCACCCTGGCACGTCCCCTCACGGGAAAGAAGTTCGCCCCCACCCGCTACGAAGAGGCGGCATGGCGCGCCATACGTGTTCTTGAACACCTGACCTAAAGCAGGACAGAGAGCGGGAACATTGTGCAGGGCAGCATTCCTATTTAGAGAATTGAATGCATTAGATGCGTCTACATTAGCAGCACGGCTTCGGTTTCAGGAAGACCAAAAACCCCTGCCATTGCGTGAACGGCAGCCTCGCAAGCAGCTGGCATGCCAACGCAAAGTTGGCGCGGGGCAGTCGCAGCTCTGACGTCGCTTTCGATCACCTTCATTATCGCTCGCCCTATAATCCTCCTAAACACCTCCCCAACAGCTATGGGTCTAACACCTGGGGATTTATCAAGGGGGATCAGGCGAGCGGCAGTGAATGCATCCATGAAACTCGGCTCGATATTCGCAGTACACAATACGCGTGCCGAATCCGCCAATGCAGTGCAAAGTCGGTTGGAAGCTGGGCCGAAGCACGTTAGCATCCTGGTCCAGGCCTCCGAGTCTAGTCCGGACGGACCAGCGGCGCCCTTCATGGACCTGCTCACAAACTTGATGAGGCTTGGCGTGATGCGCTCGAAGAGTATTGGGTTCACCCGCTGTGAGTCGGTCGGCGCCACCAATGAGCCAGGAACCGCCGGTGAGGGAGACGGGTGCTTGTCATGCAGCACCTCACGCACAGTCTTTTCACCACCGGCCGAGTCCTCCATCCCGAGCACTGAGCCAGGTGAGTCATCACCTACCATCCTCGCTGCAGAGTGAACCTTCCCTGCGAATACTCGTCGACTGAAGGTTGTATCGTTCACTGTATCAGGCAGTTTCTGGCGACGCTTCCCAGCGGGTAGGTGTCCTTGAATACACCTGGCTTCGTCCAGGATGTCCTCAAGCCTGCCACATGACCACGATTTCATACGTCGCGTGATGTGGGTTGCATTCTCAGCAGCCCGGGACTCCGGGTGAGGTCGCTGTAATAGTAGCTGGCACGCAACCGTTAGGCCGCGGTCACACATGAGAAGTGTCCACCGCTTTTGCGGAGGCGAAAAGTGTAAGTTCCGCTGCCGCTTTTGCGGAACGGATGATGCAGCGGTCACACATGCTGTGATTCTCTCAAGACTCGCCAAAGCCGTGGTTCGTCGCCCGCTTCGCCACGGGATACCTGTGAAGAATAAAATCATGCAAATTTGCAGCATCATTTAATTTTTTAGCCAGATCTCTGCGCTAGCCTCTCTACTCGGGGTGAAACGATCACTGAAAATCAGCTATCGGTTACCTATAATTATTTGTTCGACCGAGTTGTTGGTTATAGCGAATATCTTCACCTGAATGGCTGCTACTTCCCTCTCTTTTGTGAGAAGTAATACAATGAAGCACATCAGAATAATGAGGCCACAGATACCAGACCACTTGGAATCTCAATTGCCGATTCTCCATCGTAGATATCATGATTAGGGTTGCGAGTGGCTTGGAGTGCCTGTTATCCAGCATTTGCACTGCCTGAAAAGCTTTCCCAGCACTTGATAAGCACGGCTTGGAAATATCGAGTGCGACCATAACGTAAGTATCGGCATGATTATTTCACCCCTGATCTCTGCTGCTCACGTATTAATTTTTGACGACAATGATGACATTTGTTTGCACGCACACATCATGCTATCACACCTTGATGCGTCACAAACACTATTTTGACTTACTTGCATGCACCTACTATCACGAGCTTCTTCTAGGGGCAAAATACAATGCATTCACGTACTTCGTATTGTTACTAGTACCTATCGTCACCTAGGTGTTTCCGAAAACAAACTAGGAAGATGTGTAGTATTTGCCTACCCACACCTGCATGCATGTACATGTAGGCCTGGTCATGGTTTCCCAACGCAAACTAGGAGGGGGTGATGTGTACTGTACGGTGTTTGCCTATCGACAATAGGCAAACACCACACATCAACCTACAAGTAGCCAAGTTTGTTTGGGAAGCCTAGGTGAGGCAGGTAGTTTAGTTCAATACACATCATTACCATGACCTTTTGATGTTAGATATTCCTCACACACAACTCTATGGTCACCATGTAGCCTTTACTCATCCTTCCTTAGTTATGTTTGCATCCAAACACTCCTGCCAAACAACAAACGTCAGATAACCAAGAGAACAAAACACTGCCTTGCATACTCTTCTATTATTCTCTCGAGCCTATATAAACCAACACTTCTTCCCGATTGTCTTCAGATATCTAGTGCTCACCAATCTTGAAAAGAACTTTGAATTGACGCTTGGATAGCCCGGAGTGAACTAGTTTCACCGTTGAATTGTTTAAAGAAGCGACGTTTGTGTAGAAGTAATCATGGATCGTGAGCGCCGAAGACAGGTTAAAATTGTTACTGCCTTTATGGCACTGAATGTCCTGTCAAACAGCCTCATGGACGTGTGCGACATGGGCACTTCCACTACGACCGTCCAGCGAGGTAGTGGTTCACTGCATATTCCATCATCGATTCCAGCATGGATACCCATAGTTGCCATCCTCGGAGTTCGTACGTATGCAGACGCACTTCTGGGAAGAAAGAAACGCCGTCGCTTCTGGTCCGCGCTGAGGGGCCAAGGAGTCTGGGAGACTGATTTCCTCCGTAACTACCCGCTCATGACTATGCAGTATCGTGTTCCGGATTTCGAAAACGCGCAGTATATTGATCATTTGCGCATGGGCAAGGAGGAATTTTGGCGATTTCACGAGGAGTTCGGACGATTGCTGGCAAGAAAGGACACAAAATGGAGAGCGTCTATTCCTAGCCACAAGCGACTGGCCATCACGTTGCACTGGCTGGCACATGGGCCTACCTTCCGGGAACTGGCGAGACAGTACGCAATCGGCAAGTCCACCGCCGTCCACATCGTTCATTCAACCGTAGACATCTTGTTTAAAGACATGGCGCCTCGGTCAATCCGCTTCCCAGAAGGGAAAGAGCTGAAGAAAACCATGCAAGAATTTGAAGATTTAGCAAAGCTTGAGAGATGCGGAGGAGCTGTGGACGGAACGTTTATGAAAATCAAAAAGCCACAGGTGCAATTCGCAGACTGCTACTGGTGTTATAAGAAGTACTCTGCCATCATCATCCTAGGCACAGTTGATGCATGCGGCTTGTTCCTGAATGTGAATGCTGGGCGTGCTGGGTCGGCCGGTGACGCTAGCGTTTACGCTTCATCTCGGCTGGCACGCAAGATTGGTGAGCGGAAGTGGCTCACGATCAAGGAGACTGAAACTGAAAAGTTCACGATCCAAGGCTCGTACATTCGTCCGTATCTTGTTGGCGATTCTGCGTTTCCTTTGTCCGCCACGCTCATGAAGTGCTATGATGACAATGCGGCCCTGCTTCCCTGGCAGCGGACATTCAACTATCGACTAATCCGTACCAGGCGAGTGGTAGAGCAGGCGTTTGGGAGGCTGAAAGGGCGATTTAGGGTCCTGGTGCACAATAACTTGAATGACCCAGAGTTTGCCAGTCGTGTAGCTATTGTCTGCTGTGCCATTCACAATGTATGCGAGCGCTGGAGATGTCCAGTGGAAGCAACATGGCTCATCGACGATGCGACATACGACAAGTACCATCCTGGGCCGAACGATCAGCCCAATGCGGAGTTTGATCAGGCTGGCTTGAGTATTCGCAACAAGCTAGCTCAGTACACCCATCAGCAGCATCCCATCGCATGAGCAAACTTGGCTTTGTGCAAGTCAACAGCATGGAAGAATGCTATTACAGTGATCCAAAGCTTCCATTTTATGAGCGAGCCGTACTCCATTGGTACTCATTGTGATGATGTCAATAATACCTACAATGTACATGCTAGTTGATACTTTTAAAGTAGAGGAGTTTTGTCTTTAGTGCACACATCATGTACATGCCATTGTAAACCCTAACTCATCCATGCACTCCATGCATCATGCTACTACAATGTTATCACTGCATGTTCGCAGTAGTTAAACCAGCTAACGCATATAGAAATCCACGACGAATACCTCCTTTTGAGACAAACATTTTGCTTTGTCAGTTCATCTTTCTTTATACCATTACCACAGGCAGCTACCAGTACAGACGGGCGAGACAGCAACACGCTTCCTCTTCCTCTCTCTCGGAACGCTTTCCCCACTTGGCATGCAAATTCATTCTCTGTATTAAGCTAAAACTTGCTCCTCCGCATACACTTGCACATTTAAAAAGCTGGTTCAATAATAGCTCGCCTACTAGATGTTCTCTCCAGTTCCCATTTACCAGATCATCGATCCTTTTATAATCCGATATCTTCAAGTCCTATTTTCATTGGTCTCGGCTCCCGCAGGAGGTAGTCTTGCGACACGTAGGCTGCAATCTGTTCCATTCTGCACACGCCTACCTAAGTTGAATTGACAACAGTTTCGTTGTTTTTCATTGCTTTTCATACTGCTTTCTCCAGGTTCCTTTAGTACTCCTTTTGTTTTTGTTTTCAGTGTTCTCTTTTCTCCTGTTTATTCTCAAATATATTATCATCGTGATTGTGGAATAATAATAATACAACAAACAGCTTGAGCTTTGGAATTAGAACGAATAGTATGCGTGCCGAAGATGTTGAGGGTCCACTGCATAGGCATTGGAAGAGCTGCATTCGGACATTGTATGTACAATCAGCTAGTCGTACATCCCATCGTGTATATTGTATAGCCATGTCAGCAAGAATGTAATTAATGCAGAAAGATTATTCGGAAATAAGTCACTGATTTGACCAATACATTAATCAGAGTCGCTGCTGAGAAACGCTGAGAAACGCAATTACCACACCATTACCACCGGCAGCTACTAGTACAGACATGCGTGGCAGCAACAACAAACAGCTGGAGCTTAGGAATTAGAAAGAATCATATGCGTGCCTAAGATGTTGAGTATCCACTGCATAGGCATTGAAAGAGCTGCATTCGGACATTTTATGTACAATCAGCTAGTCGTACATCCCATCGTGTATAATTATTGTACAGCCATATCAGCAAGAATGTAATGAACGCAGAGAGATTATTCTGAAATAAGTCACTTACTTGACCAACACATTAATCAGAGTCGCTGCTGCTGGCGTGTCGTCTCCTCCTTCCAAAGAGGTTCTGCATCAGCGTGCCTTGGAATGTCATCATGGATTGCTGCATAGTCATAACAAACTGCTGATGGCGCTCCTGTGCCCTGGCATCCTTGTCTTCATCCTGTTGTCTCATCCGCTCCTCAAACTGCTGTTGCTGTTGCTGGAGCTGGCCCTGCAGTCATTCAAAAAAAGAAGAAGAAAGCAAATTGTCGTGTCCGTTCCCGAGGGAACTCATGACGGCCGCTAACACCCAATAATACAGATGCAGCGCCTAACGGTGACGAAGAACGTTACATTAAGTACCCTATTTCCAGAGTAAACGCCGCACTTTAAACACTGGACATCAACCAAAAAAAGTTGGTGCGGCTTTATGGTGAAATGAACCGTGAAATGTATGGAAGTCGCCTATATTTCGTTATAAAAATCTGGGTCGGGCTTATGCTCCAGTGTGCTCTATACGCCGTAAAATACGGTACACAGAAATTCAGGCCACTGGGGAGTAGAGAAGTGTTCGGTTTTCAATGAAACATTCCAAACATTTACATACCTGTAGTTACTGCAGTGGATTAAAAAAAAGATATATTCGTGGGCACATTTTCTAAATTTAAACTCACCTGGATGGCTAAAGTTTGCTGCGCTTGACCGTCTAGAATTGCACCCATTCCATCAAGGAACTGCCGCTGTTGCTCCTGCTGGGGTGGTGTTACTGTTTGGGTACGTCCACGCACAATTCTTGTAGGTGGTGTGTTGGGTGTTGCTGTGCGTCGCTCGACTGCTACCTGTGCTTGAGCACCCCTTGCTGGTTGTTCAGCCACGGCCTGTTCGTTATCTTCGTTGTCGCTGCTACTGGGTGGCACATCGCGCTCGCTTCCAGGTCCATCATCACCTACCCCGTAGTCTTCATCCACTAGAACGGGCAGTGCTTCATCTACTTCGTCGTCTTCCACTTGAACTTGGAGCACTAAACCAGCTGCACCAGCATTCGCATCAGCAGCAGCAGCACTCGTATCAGCACCGGTATCACAATCCTCCTCCTCGCTACTGCTAGCGGTGTCCGTGCCCAGGGCTATTCCCATGGTGGGGTGAGCATTGAACAGCTCATAATAGCGCTTGTGAAGAGGCCACTTGGCACGCTTTACAATATCCTCCCAGTCCAGATCATTGTCGTCGTCGTCGTCCACAGCTGCTCCTGTCCGCTCCTTTTCTCTATCTCGGACAAGAGGCAGGACAAAGGTCTTCATCTTGGAGTTTCCAGTCTTCTTCACCGATGTTATCTTATCCTTTATTTGTTTATAACTCACGTCAACATCCTGCTCCTCTTTCAATTTCTGTGCAATCCACTTGAACTTATCAATATCCTTCTTCATCTTTTTATCAAACCGGGTTTTTACTTCGAAATACAGTGACAGCAATAGTTCTTCCAGCTCTAGAGTCCACTTCATGGCCCTAGTACATGCAGGAAAGATCCCTGGCAGTCTACACGCAAAGAGAGTACCAAACGACAACCAAACAACAACAGTAGTGGCACACAAACACAGACTCAGTGACAGTAGCCTTCACTTTGCATAAATAATTATTATGCAGGTTCCGCCAAAGCGGATCCGCGAACGCGGAGGTTCCGCTCGCATTTTTCTGGCGTAGCGAAATGCAAGCTTTCCGCCAAAGCGTAACTTACGCCTCCGCCGTTGCCGAGGCAACGGCGGAAGCGTAAGTTACGCTTTGGCGGAACCGCCAAAAAAAGTGCATGTGTGACCGAGGCCTTACCGCTGTCCAAGAGATGGGACGAAGTGGCGAGTCAGAGGCAAACGCTGATATTAAGCGGGCCAATTCATTCACAAACGAAGACCCGGCTGAACCATACGGAATCATTACCAGATTCCTCTCCCACTGCACACATTCGTTGTATACGTCTTGGAAGAAAGCTTGTATGTCATCCGCCGGACTGTTCCATACGTTTTCGTCGAAACTATGCTGAGAATCGTCCAGACCGGCCAAGAGCAATGTTGTATCTCCTCCTGGCAATAATGACTGTTCAGGCGATGTCCCACTGATAAGAACGCTTGATTCAGCACTGGTGTTGGCCACATCAGACGACCGGGGCTCTCTCGTTGTCCCTGTTGCTGCGGTCGACAGTTCAGGGCAACTAGCTGGAGGGTCGGTGTTGCGTTGCGTACTGGAGCTAATTGGTGGAGCAATTGGCTGGCTGGCGGAAGTCATGCCACAGGTTGCCGCTGATAGATTCCTGCACCTCAACTTCGCCCTTGGCGCACAGTTCGTACATTTTCTACTGTTCTTGACACAAACACATGATTTGCATGTCCCAGAAGGACCGCATGTGCAACATTTAGCCATACTACTGTGGCATAAGGAAGCTGGAGGTGCAAATGCAGCGGGTGATAATGCAAAATGGCTAGAATCGGTTACAATTGCCAGTTGATAACTGATGTAGAAAAAACAACACCAGAGCAATGCAAAGGTGCGACGGGGAAACACTAAGCCAACGAGGTGAAGAAAACACGGCACTGGTGCTGCGCCCAAGGTGCATACCAAAATGAACTTACGGGAGAGGTTGTGAATGCACTAGAATGCTACCCAGAAAGGGAGGATGTGAACACCCGAAAGAAAAAGGTTAGCCCAGCAGCGCATGCACAGTGCCAGGCAAACGGTGCTAACACTGCAGCAGTCCCTCAAACAGGTGGGAAACTTCAAATCAAAAGAGCTAACAGCAAGCAACACAACACAACCAACAAAGCGAATAATAAAAAGCAACGTACCATGAACAGTCCTCCAGAACAGAGAGACTACTACTACTACTACTACTACTACTACTACTACTACTACTACTACTACTACTACTACTACTACTACTACTACTACTACTACTACTACTACTACTACTACTACTACTACTACTACTACTACTACTACTACTACTACTACTACTACTACTACTACTACTACTACTACTACTACTACTACTACTACTACTACTACTACTACTACTACTACTACTACTACTACTACTACTACTACTGTTGATAAATATGGTGGTAAAAACACACCTGGCAATATGGCGGTAAACAAACGCCTGCCCACACACGCTCTCTAGGCTGCAAAGTTCTGGCACAGAGCTCTCCTTCTCACCACCACCACCATCAGTTCGCGCCTGGCGCCTGGTCGATGCATGGCTGGCGGTATCCGGCATAGCAGGCTGGTACATCAAGTAGCGCATGGCACATAGATGATGACACAGCAACGACATAGCTTGATTGCGACGTACGTTTCGTCCCCGCTGGACTCATCAGGCAATCTTCTTCTTGGATGTCTTCATACGGAGCTTGACTCGGGAGAATGAAATTGAAGACACCACTGCAGCTGTACTTATGGTTGATAAATATGGTGGTAAAGACACACCTGGCAATATGGCGGTAAACACACGCCTGCCCACACACGCTCTCTAGGCTGCAAAGTTCTGGCACAGAGCTCTCCTTCTCACCACCACCACCATCAGTTCGCGCCTGGCGCCTGGTCGATGCATGGCTGGCGGTATCCGGCATAGCAGGCTGGTACATCAAGTAGCGCATGGCACATAGATGATGACACAGCAACGACATAGCTCGATTGCGACGTACCGTATTTTCCGGGGTATAAGCCGCACCGGGGTATAAGCCGCACCCCCCTTTTTGAGGCAAAATATTGACTAAAAGTTGGTACTCGGAGTATAAGCCGCACCCACAAACCAAGATTTTTCACACTCATTGACAAATGGCCTTTCTACAAATTTATTATGGTTATGGAGCTAAATACCATGTTAGATCAGATTATGAAGTGTTAGTGCACCACAGGTTGCTGCAGAGATGTTGGTGTATTGCTGTGTTCACTACAGATCACTCCATGTCATCTGCACTATCTTCAGTCTCGCTGCCACTGATGTTGATCAGCAACACAGGCGCGAAGCTGAGTCGAATGACATGTCACATGACGTCAGCATGCATACTGATGTATGCTAAGCATTCATTCGCGCAAGCATATTCGGTGTATAAGCCACAGGGGCGATTTTGGTCCGATTTTTAGCGAACAAAAGGGCGGCTTATACCCCGGAAAATACGGTACGTTTCGTCCCCGCTGGACTCATCAGGCAATCTTCTTCTTGGATGTCTTCATACGGAGCTTGACTCGGGAGAATGAAATTGAAGACACCACTGCAGCTGTACTTATGGTTGATAAATATGGTGGTAAAGACACACCTGGCAATATGGCGGTAAACACACGCCTGCCCACACACGCTCTCTAGGCTGCAAAGTTCTGGCACAGAGCTCTCCTTCTCACCACCACCACCATCAGTTCGCGCCTGGCGCCTGGTCGATGCATGGCTGGCGGTATCCGGCATAGCAGGCTGGTACATCAAGTAGCGCATGGCACATAGATGATGACACGGCAACGACATAGCTCGATTGCGACGTACGTTTCGTCCCCGCTGGACTCATCGACCAGGCGCCAGGCGCGAACTGATGGTGGTGGTGGTGAGAAGGAGAGCTCTGTGCCAGAACTTTGCAGCCTAGAGAGCGTGTGTGGGCAGGCGTGTGTTTACCGCCATATTGCCAGGTGTGTCTTTACCACCATATTTATCAACCATAAGTACAGCTGCAGTGGTGTCTTCAATTTCATTCTCCCGAGTCAAGCTCCGTATGAAGACATCCAAGAAGAAGATTGCCTGATGAGTCCAGCGGGGACGAAACGTACGTCGCAATCGAGCTATGTCGTTGCTGTGTCATCATCTATGTGCCATGCGCTACTTGATGTACCAGCCTGCTATGCCGGATACCGCCAGCCATGCATCGACCAGGCGCCAGGTGCGAACTGATGGTGGTGGTGGTGAGAAGGAGAGCTCTGTGCCAGAACTTTGCAGCCTAGAGAGCGTGTGTGGGCAGGCGTGTGTTTACCGCCATATTGCCAGGTGTGTCTTTACCACCATATTTATCAACCATAAGTACAGCTGCAGTGGTGTCTTCAATTTCATACTACTACTACTACTACTACTACTACTACTACTACTACTACTACTACTACTACTACTACTACTACTACTACTACTACTACTACTGGTGACAAGCCTCTTTTACGGGCAAAATAGCGGAAACGTGAAATCGTAAATCATTGAAGATCAATTCAATTAAAAAAAGAAAACTCCTTTAAATAACGTCAAATCAATTAGTAAATCCAATGTCAAATCCAATGTCAAATCCAATATCAAAAGAAAACTTTAAACTCAAAGTGAAAATTAAAGTAACAGGTCCCGTCATGTATGCAAGTCTAAGCCAATGTCAATATAAATTACTACTACTACTGCTACTAATACTACTACTACTACTACTACTACTACTACTACTACTACTACTACTACTACTACTACTACTACTACTACTACTACTACTACTACTACTACTACTACTACTACTACTACTACTACTACTACTACTACTACTACTACTACTACTACTACTACTACTACTACTACTACTACTACTACTACTACTACTACTACTACTACTACTACTACTACTACTACTACTTCTACTACTACTACTACTACTACTACTACTACTACTACTACTACTACTGAGAACGTTGACTTTATTTGATAACAAACTGGGTGCCGGAATGAAGAATTCAAAAAACGGAAGCAAAGAAAGCAATGGTGACAAATCCAATCAAGTATATCGTAGATAGGAAAATCAAATCAAATAAATCGGAAAATCCAAAAAGAAAAGAAAATAAAAGAATCAAGTCAACTATCGAATACCAAAACAAAGAGTAAACCCGCATCCGCAAACACAATCAAAGCAGCACCGTTTACCCAACTCATCCAACAACCCAGACAAGAGAAAACCAGATAAGGTACACAAAGAAAACGGGCAAGTCAACCATCAAATCATGACCAACATATAATAGCAAAATTGCTACAACAAAAATACAGACAATATCATGAAACAGTTCTACTACTACTACTACTACTACTACTACTACTACTACTACTACTACTACTACTACTACTACTACTACTACTACTACTACTACTACTACTACTACTACTACTACTACTACTACTACTACTACTACTACTACTACTACTACTACTACTACTACTACTACTACTACTACTACTACTACTACTACTACTACTACTACTACTACTACTACTACTACTACTACTACTACTACTACTACTACTACTACTACTACTACTACTACTACTACTACTACTACTACTACTACTACTACTACTACTACTACTACTACTACTACTACTACTACTACTACTACTACTACTACTACTACTACTACTACTACTACTACTACTACTACTACTACTACTACTACTACTACTACTACTACTACTACTACTACTACTACTACTACTACTACTACTACTACTACTACTACTACTACTACTACTACTACTACTACTACTACTACTACTACTACTACTACTACTACTACTACTACTACTACTAC